AACACTTCAAAAGTAGTTTTGGAATGGAAACCAGACCATTTATATTAACTCTACTAATTCTACCAAAAAGACTGGTCAAATATCCAGAATCATGCCAGAAGATTGTGGATTGATACCTAAAGCATCTCGTTGAAGTACAAGTTGCAGAAGGGACATTTAACCAAATATTAGTTGGGCTATATATTTGAGCCTGTGTGGATACCGCTGATCCTGTGTGATTTAGAAAAATGGAAAATAAATTAAATTTTTTGCACCCAATTCTTGCTTTCAAAAGTCTTTAAAGGCATTAATTCAACCCTGGAAAAAGAAAAGTTCAAATAAAATGTTAAAAGCCCCAAATTACCCTGAGATTCATGCCCATGATGAGTGCATGGAAACTTCTGACCACAACTGTAGATAGATAGATGGATCTCCTCACCTTAAGACATTTTCCACCTGCTCTTCACTCAAATCCTCCATCGCTGTATCATTAATCTGCAGCACCTGGTCCCCTGGGAATAGTATCCCATCTGCAGGACTTCCTAAACACACGCATTCCCATCAACACACACACAGATGCACAAATTCACACAATGAAAAGAGTGAGTGCTTGCATAAAACAAAAAAACCCACAGCTGCGTACGTGGAGACAAAGGGAGACACACACGCACACACACACACGCACACACACACACAGAATGACACACATGCTTGTTCAATATGGCTGACTCAACAGCGTTCGGCTGAGCTCGCCGGGACGTGAGGGGTTACGGTTATTCTGGGTGTCTTCCAGCCCGGCTCGGCTCTGCTTTCTGTAGCTATTTATACTCATTTGTCTTCAGACAAGCGAGCACGACTGAGGCACAGCAGTTTCAGCTTACTCTAACACACAAGCACACAGACATGCTGAGCATCTGTGCACGTAAACACATGCACCCACAAATTTTCACACACCCAGTCTGCCTGGCAAAGCCCCGTCTGTCCCTGATTTGTGACCCACTGAAGGCGAGCCGTACAGCATGGCAAGCTTTTGCACACAAACACACACACCCAAAAGCCAAAGTCCCCTCCTGTTAAGCTTTCATAATAGCGATTCCTCCTCTTCCTCTTTCTATCCTACTTCATCGTCCTTCACTTTCCTTCAGCATCTACCAACATGGCCTCTCTGACTATTCCCAATCCCTAAGTGTCACCAACCGTTCATCCCCTCTCTACTTTCTGTACACTTTCACGCTCATTACTTTGCTTTCTTTGGCCATGTTTGCACTTTGGTTGTGTATTCCCCTCTGGGTCTTCCTGCTGGCATCTTCTCTCTTAATTAAATCTTGTCTTCTGTTATCACTTCCCTCTCCCTATCTCATTCGTCTCTCCTTTTCCTTGGCAGCAGCTACAGCGCTAGTGGCAGGGTGGGACCCTCCTCACTGCATTTATCAGCTTATTTTACAGGATGGACATAAAGTAATGGATCAGCATCTCTCCCTCTCTCCCCCCTGCACTCTGTCTCTCTTTATGAGTCTCTCTATCCCCCCATCAAAGTTGCATAAATGAAAAGTGATTGAATTTAGAAAGGATGAGCAGGTGGCTCTGTTGTTTACGTGGCTTCTCTGGCACCGTGCCCCGGGGCCTGAATGCCAGGAATGTGTGTGTGCGTGTTATGTGTGTGTGAGAGCGAGATAGAGTGGTAAAGTGTAAATATGCTTGCTGCACGCGGAGAAAATTGCATAAAGCAGGTGGCAATTTGGTAACGCTGACTCACAGCCACTGCGTGGCCAATGTACCTGTGGCGATGTCCCTGACCAGCAGGGGTGCGTTTGTGGTGAGGGTGAAGCCATGTCCAGTGCTGCTGTCCAGGACCGGGTCCCTGGTAATCTGCAATGTCAGCTTGGCCTGGAAGTTCTGATTGGACAGACTGTTGGAGCGCTGCGACCTCCCATCGCCTAGCAACCGCTCTCTGAGGAAGTCAGACAGGGTGACGGGTTATCCAACTGGAGGCGACGACAGCCATGAAGAGATACTATGTATTCAAGTAGTGCATTCAAAGAGGAGAAAGTTTACTTTTTGCTCTTCCAGATCACGTTTCTTATTTGTTCCACAGTGACTGCTGATTAAAACGTAGCACAGAAATCCTGTAAAGCGAACCTTCTCTGCGGCGTTACACAGTATTTCCGGCTCCACAGTTCAGACAGCTTGTATATATTTTAGGCCTCGATGCAGCCTCTCATTTCACTCACTGTCTGAAGACAACTTATTTTAGCTCCTCTACAGTTAAGTCAACTTTCTTCTGATTGGCTGTCCCTCACAAAAGTGGGGTTGCTACACCCACGCCGAGAGCTGCAGTAGAGAGAAACTTTCTAAAATCGAGTGTTTTGATCATTCAGGTCAGGAATACTCTCTATTTAACCTCTTTATTTAGAAACTTGTCTAAATGAACGTTAACCATCATAAAAGTATATATATAACCAAAAATAATGGAAAAGCATGCTAGGTTCACTTTACAGGTGTAAAATAACACCATTTATTCAAGTCACAATAAATACTGTGGTGTAGGATTTACATTTTCAAAACAATGGAAGGTCAAAATGAACCAAAGTGAATCTCAAAATAATATAGAATTCGATGTCTGACGTTTTCACAAAGGCACGTCAGACATTGACACTTTTATTGAATCAGTTTAGGTTTTGCTGTGATCTGTGCGTTTTACAACCTCAACATGATTAACAAAAACAGGCCGGGAGAATATTGTGAAACTGCCAAAAGACCATTGGCACCAACTTGATAGATCTTCGCTGTGTTTTGACAACTAAGACCCCGTCACAGGGCAAAGGTCACTCTGGCAGGCCTTCAACACCCTCTTTATGCAAAGCTTCAACACAAGTCATATGAGAAGGCTGGGGAGGACTAAAGCAAATAAATATATGAGATCATTTGTTCTGTCAGCTGTTGGATTGCTAAACAAGCTGCAGGCCAGGGTAGTACACAGTTTTTAACTGCGGACTTTCAGTGCATTTGCAGCTCTCTTTATGATTGCATTTAATGTGTGCTTGTCGTTTATTTACGATGTGCGATGACAGTGATGACAACTATTTGTGAACCGAAATTCCCCTCGAGGACAATAACGAATATCCTTCTCCCCAGGAATTCCCAGGAGGAAGTTTACTGGGATTTCTCAGCAACGCGTTCATTGCTGAGAATAAGTCTTAGCGGACAGCCAAATATGAAGGATTCTTGAAAGCATATTTGTGGTTTGCTGTGGGACAAGTTTGTGTATGAGAGAGGGACAGTCAGGCAGTTCGGGTTTGAATATGTACTTAGCTATGTGGCTCAGTGTGTGGGTGTAGGGAGGAGGTTTGGTTTGTGTTTGTGTCTTAGTGGGTCCATAACAGGTTGAGAAAGGCAGCTTCTTCTTCAGTTTTTGCCTCTTTTTGTTTTTCACGTGCTGTTTACCCTTTTTTTTTTTAGCTATTGCTAACTCACAATGAGTCAATAAATTTCCTCAGCATGCTGAACAAATACACACCTGCACTTCCCACATTTTTCATTTTTGTGTCACTCAAGAATCTGGCACCAGGCGTAGAAGTGCTTAAAGTTCCTCTTCCACTCTTTACATATTGTTTAGTTATTTTTAGCATATAAGTTGATGGGTTTTTTTTAACTCTGTCATACTGCATACTCAGTTTCTTCCCATCAAAATCCACCCTCTGAACACCTTTGCACTGATTTCACCACAAAAACATCTTCCCCCTCAGCTCAGACTCCTTTTAATTCCGTACCTGCTAAGTGACTCTCGAGTGCGTCGTATTATAGTCCCCACCACCTGCTGCACCCGACTGGCCCTCCGAGCCGGAGACCTGCTCCTGCATCGCTCCTGCTCCTCCATTTATCTGAAGCGACAAAGAGAGAAAAGTGCATGAACACGCAGAGGGACAGGGAAACGTGGGAGGAAGATGAAAGGATTCGGTTGGAATAAATGAAACTGAGCTCAGAGCTCAGTTCTGTCTTTTTTGGACTGTGCAATCAGTGCGAGAATTGTGCTCCAGCTACATTTGCATCTAGTCGGGCCCTTTTTTATATGCACCGCATGCAGCCTGCCTCGAACGCTATGAATAATCAGATGTGTGAGCAGAAAGCAAAAAAAAAAAAAAGGCTGTGAGAGAAAGGGGTGGAGTTTAGTCAGCATGAGCAGCAAAACATGGCGAAATGACCTGATTCTCAAAAACAACAACAACTGCATCATCACACAATAAAAGGACTCACAAGTATGCCCCAGTATGAACATTCACAACACCACCACTCTGCAGCTGTACATTTTCTGCTGAGCTTGCCCCTTAAACAAGGCAGTGGTGAGGACATAAAGAGCGATAGAGGGCTCATTTTAACCCTGGGGAGTTCGACTGAACGCAAACCAAATCTCAAGACTTACTACGCCCCTCAAAAGGGTTTTGTTTCTTTCAGCCAATCAATACTCTGCAGCTGGAAGAGGCTTGTAGAGCGCCTGATAATTACTTGACAGCCTTTATTTGCGGCATGAAGGGGAATTAAGTTATGCTGAGTTTTGTTTTCAGCAGATACTCCCTCGTGATATACTTCATCTGCTGTTTGTGGCCATGCTGGGCGGTTTCACCCACTGAAAGAGGGAAAACAAAGGGGGAAATTTGGCAGGGACGGGAAAAGCAGTGACCTAGATCTGATCTGTTTGGCTAACGATGATGAACGCCCTCCTGAAACTTAATGATCCATACCTTGGCCTGGGGGAAACCAATCCAAGTGCTCGGTCTGACCGGCCTTCGGAAATATGGATCAAACTGCTGCATGCCAACAGTTCTGTGAAGAGCTTAAAAGAGGCAGGGCTCTGGCCGACTGCCACACTTGTTCCTAGCATTTTAAAAACATGCCTGTGTCCAATAAATGAGGAAGGATGAGTCATTAAAGTAGGAATTACCTCACAGTACTGAGTTATGTAAAAACAATGCACGTTGTGCTGTAAACGGTAGATATTAAGCAGTACTACTGCGTGTAAAAGTACATTTATGAGATAGAATTTGTCTTTTTCTTCACATTCACTCAACTTTCTCCCACCTCTGCTTCAGTGTCTCTGCTGAATGGAGGCCAGCGCTGCCTAGCCCTCCTTAATGGTAGTAAAACATGCAGTGTAGGTTTGTCCTTTAAGAGGATTAGAGGTACTCGCTCTCCACAAGCCCGCACTGGTCAGAGTGTCACTTTAGCACCTCCTGCTTATCCGGATAGAGCCAGATAAACATGGATGAAGAAGGCTGAGTGAGAGTAGGTAGTAGACAGATGCACACGAGGAACCAAGTGCACTTAGTATTACATCTGCTCCCCCTTTGATCACTGGAAGAAACATTCACTATGTGTTAAACGTGCAGGTGTATGGATGGGCAAATACGTGCATGTTCAAGTGCTGGGTGAGAGGATTCTTCCTCTCTTCTGTCTGTCATTTTCTCCCTCTTTCGCTCACCTTCATTGCCCTTGCAGAGTCAGGTAGTCATCTCCAGTGACAGTCTCTGTGGGCAGCACTTTTTATATACATACACAACCTAAGCACTGGAGCAACGAGTTTACTATCTTGGCGATCATCAACTGCAGCTCACATTTGCAGCTTTACTAGTAAAGCTAGTCTAGCAGATCCAAGAGGAAATACACTGTGACTGCACTTCCCTCATAGTTCTAGAAAAAAGGAGAGAAAGCAAACAGCCCGGTGTTTCACATTTTCACTGAAGACTCAGAGAGTGCGTGACTCACCGTGATGTAGCTTGTCTCTTCAAGACTCCGGAACAAACATACCCCCTCGCCCTCTGAGACATCAGCTCTGGGTAGGTTGAAAAGAGGTGGAGAGGGGTTGTTGCGATCATCAGGGCCGATGCCAATCTGGAGCTACACCACCTGTGCAGAGCAGAACACTATCAGGGAAACCTGTCAAAACACATCCACGTGACAAGTTTATAATTAGAATGAAGCAGGAAACAACCGGTTTCTGGGACTGATTAACCTCTATTAGCTCAATTTTTAACCTGTCCATTAAAAGAAAGTGAATTCTACTCAAGTAGTCAGTATATTTTCTTGTTAACGCATAAGTGTGTCAGGCAAAGCAGATGTGAGCATGAAACAAGTATCTGGTTGTGGTTTTCCAAAAAGGCTCCTCCTCTAGTCCCAGAGGCTCTCATCTCTCTCATCCACTGACTTTCTCTGCTCCTCCACAGCCTCAAAAGCTCATGGCGATGGAGAGAGGAGGCACTCCATCTCCATCTGGTTGTCTAAATTAAAATTTCATACAGCCCAGTTCAGTTAACAGTTCAGTTAACTGGGTGTGCTCTAAAAGCAGAGAGGACAGCCTGTGAATCCCGATGTGCTGGAGAGAGAACCACTGCCAGGCAAACAGCGATCTTGGCCGATATTAAAAGGGGACAAGTCTTTCATGTGAACATCAGGGCAGATATGTTGGAAACCTAAGCCAGACTCTGGTTTTCAGTGGAAATAAAGGGCTTTGATGTGTACAAGCCCGGCTTTTGAATTAGGAGAAAACACTGGATAAACATTCTTGCTCTCATCTAAGGAAACCACTTTATTCTGCACTTGAATGTTGATCTATGATGTAAACGCTCATTCTTTGTTGCTTTCTTCTACAAGAGGGAGCAGAAATCAAGGAGCCGATAGTCCCATCACTGTAGCTCTTCCATCGGGCCCTGTGTCCCACACACAGAGCTCTTTCACGAGGCCCATGTGTCCCTCAGACAAGGCAGAGGAGGACCTGGACCCACACAGACTGCAGGGCACATGAATAATGCATGGGGCTAATGCAGCTAGCTCAGCCTCCAACCGCCTCCTTCTGCCACTTTGCCAACACAGGCCAGGAGAAGAAGAGCGAGCACAGAAGGAGAGAGGGCGAATGGGGGTTGGAAGCAGGGGGAAAAAGGAGCGCGGGGGGGGGCTCTAAGGGGGCTGAGAAAAGGGGCAGGGATACAGAAAGAGAATTGGTCAGGGCAAAGAAAAGAAAGAAAGGACAGGATATTGAAGAGGGAAAAGAAAAGGGGGAGCGTTTTAAAAAGGGTGAAGAGGGCAGCGCCAAAAGAAATGAAAAGAGAAAGCTGCTGGAGAGGACGGGGAAATAAAGAAGAAAAAGTGGAAGGTGACAGAGTCCGTTCATCAGGAGGAGCGGGCGAAAGGGTGGTCAAGTGAAGGCGAGGTTTTTCACCACCGTTTGAGAGCAAACAGTGAGACAGAAGGAGCTGTTAACAAACAGATAGACAACACTAAGACCTGCAGCGTTGGTAGAACCCTCCTCTCTGACTGTGAGAGATCGCTTCAGTTTTCTCAATATGTGCCAGCATCTTCATTTTATCCAAACCCAGCACAGTGGAAGACGGTGACAGGTTTGCTCCTTAATCTCTCTCTGAATCAATAGTGAATCTTAAATGCCATCCTGCACTGTCACGTCCTGAAATCCCCGAGCTCACCATGCAAACAACTCATCAGTAAGCCTCAGAGCCCGCCTGGCCTTTCACTCAGCCTCCCTCCTCTTTTTCCCTTCACCTTCTCACCCCTACACCAGCCTTCACTTTACATGGCGAACGCAGAAGAATGCTGTTAGGTAATAAAGTCTGTCTTCCCTCTTTTTTTTTCTCTCTTTTGTCTGTGTCTGATTTCTCTAAGACAATCCCTCCCCCGTCTGCTCATTTTCCTCACACAATGTCTCTCTGTCTCTGACAAAACAGCCAGTTATTTAATCCCAGTTTGAGGATGCATGCAGTTCATAGAATTGGGCTTCTGCACTCTATCCTCAAGGGGGCTGAGAGGTGGTACTGAACGGGCAGTTCCTGTGCAGTCAGCTGAAGAGAAAGTGGTTTTAAGCCCAATTAGCACTGTTGGGCTAAACCACGTCAGTACAGAAAAACCTGAACGTGGCACAGAGAAGTCGCATCAGGGCATGAATCCACTGACTCGGCAACAGATTTTATTTAGAAAGGACCGGTTGGGTGTTTTGGACATCTTGTTCCCAATCTGTCCCGTGCACACATACGCACCCCAACCCCCTTCCCAAGCCGAGCACGACACGCCGGATACAGCTGCACCACATGAGGTGCAGGACAGCGGCAGCAGGGGTTGGTTCAGCAACTCCACATTTCATTTTGGCTCACAGTTGTTGCCAATAAAGTTGGACACAGACTTCAGGGAACATTCAGTCCAACAGCAGCACGCTTGGCAGAAAATACTGCGTGTTTCAATACTTGGAGGACTGGAGGAGGTGGTGGTGGGGGGGTGGGGGGTGGGATTTAATGTGAGACAGCTGAAATGATTCAGATTTCATAAATGCAAAGTTGTAAACGTGAAGAACAACAAGCAGAGCAGACAACACAACCCCCCAGAGTCAGTCAGGGTGCAGGATTTGTTCTTTGTCTTTTACTTAGTGCAACAAGATACTTTACTCATACTGAAGGACTTTAAAAATAAAGTAAATACATGCTTGACTGCATATATAAGGCGGGGAAACGCTCACAACGTGTTCTTAGAAAGTCAAAAAAAGTTGATTATTTCATTAAATTTGCTAATATACATCTTGAATGTCTAAATAAAAAGACACTTTTGAGTGCTCACTGTAGCTCTATGCGTGTAAGTAAGGAGCTGTAAGTCGCTTTGTGTAAGAAGCTCAATATGTGGATGTTGTATAACCACAGAACTTAAAATGGACCGTGTCTAAAATAATGTTCAACTTTGGTTAAAGTAATTAAAAAGCGACTCCATGATGAATCATCAGATGCTTTTCAGTAACTCTTTTCTCCATAAAGACGACATTTGACGACCTTCCCCGCACCCTTAATGACAACTTTTGACACCTCAGTATATATCAATAAAGCTGTGGTTTGACTGCCATTAGAACAGTTTCCGGCCTTTCCCGAGGGTAGCTGCAGAGGCAGAGACCACCCTCACTAATTTTTGATACACACCCAGTAATTTTCTTCTATAAGCAGGCCTGAAATATGACAGAAGCTGCTCAGTTCAGCAAAGCGTTTCAAGTGTTGCTCTTAATAGACTTTCAGGGGGTAAAGAGTTAAAGCGTGTGTATTTATATGGTATTACACATACATACATAGATTGGCAGAGGTTTTTGGAGGTGCTTTAATATCCAGTAAAAGGATACAAAGTAGCAGGAGGCAGAGATCAAACCACCAAACCTGTGAGACGCCCCTACATAGTCTTGTATTTTTAACCAGATTGGCTGTGGCTCCGGCACGATCTGATATCCTCGTGTTGGTGTTGTTCCCAGATCATCATACTAAAGGTTGTTCCAGGATCAACATTGCAAGTGACCAATCAGAATGTTGTGATGTCATACTTTTGCGACTTCGGGAAAAACCGGCGTAAAACAAAAAACTGTACTTAAGCTGAGAGAAACCGCCTTTGTCCGCCGATCAACGGACCCTAACCCTGACCCTAACCCTTTAATAAACGCTAAGCAGAATTGATATTGTCCTTGCAACATTGGAATTTCATAAATGCACGAATGGGTTGGTGCGCAAAAGAATAACGTCACAACAATGTGATTGGTCACTTGCAATGTTGAACCTTGAACAACATTTTCATGATGATCTGGGAACAACACCAACACGACGATATCATGTGTCAGGCTAATCTATGTCTACAAATATTACCACAGAATTTGGTGGAGACTCTTGAGGCACATGGATGATGAATCCAGCTGACTCTGGAGAATCTCTGACTTTTTGTTTAGTGCTACCATGAGGCTGATGCTTTCTTGTGCCCATTAAATATTTAGATTCAACATCCACTAAGCATGCCAGCATAAAATGCTGTACAAAATTTCTAGGTGATGGTCTGCCATAAAATTAAGTAGAAACATCACCAAAGCTAGCTGTATGGGTTTTTGTTGACTTTCTATTGGTGGAGGTTGCTTGTTTTCCTTATATGATGCGGCATGTGGCAGTGGTCCATGCTATGCAATTGCAAAAAATAAGAAGGAATAAAATCACTGATAAGGTCGATTTTAAAAGGAACAGCCTGTTTGCTTGTTTAACATAACGGCATGTTGCGTTTTGCTGGTTGTTTGTTACTGCAACCTGTCTTCCAGACATAATCCCATCTTCTGTTTCTCATCGTCTGTCACCGTCTGTCAGCTCATTCCATTAGCATTATGGAGACCGAGCTCACCGTGCACCGCTTGTTTCATTCCCCCTTTCATCAGCGACCTGGCAAGGCTTGAGCTCCCTTGTGCACTATTAAATAATGGGTACGTTGTGTTGTGTCACAGATCTATATCAATGGTTCTCGTGGTTCTAAAGAGAAGGAAGCATGCAGACAGACATAAAAAGAGAGGAGATGTCTGATGTCTGAGGAAAGCTTTTGGATATACCAGGGTGATAGATGTAGCAAGTCTGGAATTTCTGCAAGACTTTTTTTTTCTTTTGCTGTCTGAGTCAATTTCCTTCAAGTCAGTGATCCTTAAGAGGAACACAATACAGATCTTATCTTTAAGTAAAAGCAATAAGAGTTCAGTCTGTTTGCTACAAGCTATAATAATGCCCGGGTTCTGTAATAACGCAGATACAGCAGGCTTTCAATATTTCATATCCCAGCTAAGAACAGAAAACCTGATTATTAGGAGCTGATGATTTGCTTGGGCTTTTAAGGAAAATTCTTTTCATTCTCAAAGTCTTTTGCTATATGTTCACAGAAATGGGGGGTTGGCCTACATTAAGATACCACTGCCAGTCAGTGGTGGCATCACCAGAGAGCTGTCACATGAATGAGGTCATGTCTCCTGTTTCCTCTGGCAACAGCTCCAGGAAGAAACAGGTGTAAAATACTCAATAATAAACCCATCCCTATGATGCATGGATATAGCCCTTCATATATCCACCAGAAACAGCCTCTACAATCACATTAGGCAACCCGTGACCTACTAATTAGCTGAAATCTTTCTCTTTACAATAACATGAACTGAAGATGAATTCTTGAGCAGGTCAAGTACTGGTCAGCGTATTGGGAGCAGGAGCAGCAAAACACCAGCTCAGCAGCAGCGCAGTCTGCCCCGGAGACATGGAGCTGAGACTAAAGATGAAGAGAGAGGGAGAGGATGGTAGACTGGCTCTGGTTAAGTGGGGCAGAGGAGCAGTCAGCAGAGAAGATCGAGGATAATACAGCCAGGCATCAAGTCTTTCCTGATGTGCAAGTTCTGCCCGTCGCTTTTCTTCTCTGGCGGAGTGACCTCAGAGCAGCAATTCCCATCACATGCTTCAGCATACATCCCTGAGTCATAGCACAAAGCCTGCAGCGCTGGCAGGAGCGCAGGCGGCGTACTCACATGTATGCACGCTGAGTGAAAGCAGCTTTATGTTTAGGATCCGCCAAAACGCCATACGGACCGCAAACAGAAGCATGAAAAGAAGATATAAATGAGAAGATAGCAATGAGTGGAAGCCGCATTACTACACACGTCTGGGCCGCAACAAAGCGGTTACATTAACGCCATGCGTTAAACGGAGGGCCCCAGAACAAGCGAAACGCATTGTTCCGGTCTAGTTATGTTGCGCTTGTCATGCCCGACACGGCACGGCACGGGAGCGTGAGAGAGAGATAGAGAAGGGAGAGAGGTGTATGGCCAAAGGACACGAGCGAAAGAAAAATCGGAAGAGACGATTGTTTCAGGCTGGCTGCACGTCGCCTACGCCCATTCATAATGTGCGTGTTTTACTACCCAGTCTCCTGGCATCCCCCCTACCCACCCCCCATCCTCCTCTGATCAGCCAGGATTTAGTCCGTGCATTTCCCATCTGTAGCTAGTGACGGCGATTTCACTGCGCACACGACAGCGTGGATTTCCAATACCGATGCATAACACATGCGTTTGAGAATATGGTGAATTATAGACCGAGCACTATTTTGTTGAGATTTTGCTGTATATTATATTGTGTTGATATAATATTAATATACTGGGGGTTGTGAGATTTAACCTCAGCGCCTCACAAACCCATCATGAATGCCCCTAAAAGCATCGATATCTGCCATCTCACAGGCCAGACACTAACTTTGATCAGCCATGCCCCTCAATCCAGGGGGCTAAACAAAGAGAGAAGAAGAAGAAAAAACGTCACTCTTTTGTTGTTTCCCTTAATCGGATTTAAATCTCCGCCACCTCCGTCAAATATAGGGTCCCGGGTGTAGCCCGCGGGTGATGTGAAAGTGACCACGAGTTAAATTATTCATATTCAGATGATAATCGGTGCAAATGGCAGGACTGTCTGGACGCAAGGTGCCGGTCGGCGCCTGCGTAACCAGCCGGGCGCTCCTGTCCTTCATCAGACAGCAAACGCCGCGAAATAACGAAAGGACTCACCTCGTGGTTGATCGGGAGACAGTCGGACCGGGAGTCTAAGGAGGGGGGGATTGGTGGTTAGGCTTCCCCCCTCTTTTCTACTAAAAGACGAGAGATTTTATACGAGACGAAATCCGTTTCTCGAAAATATCCTCCCGCGCCAGATGATGATGGTGATGGTGATGTGGTGTGCGGGGGGTTTGGCTAAAAGCTGGATGCTGTCATCGTACTGGGACTGCTCCCTGCCTAATCCTCGGCCCTGAGCTCAGAAATAACCCACCCCCTC